TCCCTCCCTCCCTCCCTCCCTCCCTTCTTTCCTTCCTTCCTGTCTTTGGTAGAGATTAAACTTACTTGAATATGGATAGGAAAGATTCAAGAGAGAGGAGGAGTGAGGAGGGACTTGAAGAAAGAAAGCAATTTATAGAACAAGGTTCTGGAAATAGTAAGAATGGATGGGATTTGGAACACTTGGATGGCAAATGGTACACCTTTTCCATTGTAACAGAAGGGGAAGAAAAAAATGGGTTTTTGAATAGGTAATTTTAAAGGAAAAAGAGTTTCAATCTGATGATTTCTAAGTTTCCTCTTTTGGCAGCTGCTGCTGGAGAGAGGGAAGGTGAGACTCGAGAGAATAATAAATTTAGAGTATTTACTGTGAAGAAGATACAGAATAATAATTAGGGAGAAAATCAGATTTCCTGTGGCATTAAATTCTCAGTTGAGGCTAGACATCATGTGAATTTATAGCAGAATCAATCTGCCAGATATGTTGATTTTTCTCTAACATTTCTCAGAAGCCTTGGTGTAGGTGTGGAAGTGGGAACCAATTGCATTCATCCAAGACTGGTGTTATTCTAAGAAATTGTTATAGAAGTGCAGTGGAGCAAGTAGATTAAAAGATAAAGGTCTCTACTTCCTTATCTGAAAGTATAACATTTAAGAAGATCTGAAAACTGATGATTTTTTCTTAACGCAGTGGCAAAAGTTGCTCTGAATGAAAAGATATGAGGCTACTTATAACCTTTATTTATCAAACTTAGTGTATATATTCATATGTTTTACTTTAGAGATTAACGTGTATCATTATGGAGTGCTGTCTCAAATTTTGGTGGGGCTGTTACATCAAACATAGATTATGTCCTCTATAACTGTTCTTAAAACTGGCAAATTTTTGAATTCTGAAGGGCACCTGACCTCCAAGTCTTCAAGAAGAGACTGTCTTCTTGCATTAGCAAAAAAAAAAAAAGAGGTTGAAACGATATCCTATGGAACCTAAGCCAGATAGGGAAAAGGGGGAAGATAGGGAGGTAATCCATTGGGAAAAAGTAGGATGCTTAAGGAAATAGATGGCTTCAAAGAACTGATGTAGGGGGATCAATTGAGAAATTTGGAAGAATGGGAAGGGAGTACTTAGAATGTATAAATTTGGAAGAATGGGAAGAGTAATTAGAATGGAAAGAGTATTAGAATGTATCAATCGATTATTTCTAAAGGGAGACAGTTCTGAGTGGTTACAGAGTCCAGGGTGTGACCTTGGAAGTGGGCAGCTGAGTTGTAATGAAATAGAAAGTCATGAAAGATGAGGTCAAGAAACTGAGAGGCTAGAAAATTAGATGAGATACCCAGAGTAATGGCAAGATTTGGAGTGGAATGGAACATCACAAGTTCTCAGATCGCCAATGAGTGGGGCTCTGTGGAAGGTACATTAGATACCAAGATGTGTAAGACAAGGTCTTCACTCTTCCCCTGGACTATCATCTTTTTAAGAAACAAGGTGATACATAATTATACAACATGGTAAGAGTGATTATTATAGAAGCATAATCTAAAAGCTATTTAGTCTAAATGAGGAAAGAGATCCTAGATGTCTGGACAGGTCAGGAGACTAACCATTCAAGAAGAGTTTCACACACTGTTTTGGAACTTTCTGTGTTTGGTAAACGTTAAGGCACAACTCACGGATATTCGGTAGAATATTCGATCAAAAATAGTGGTTAAAACTGTCATATTTGCTAGGTAATTTACTAAATGCAGTGCAAGATATGAAGAAAAAGGTTGGATGTGAGCTATCTTCAAGAAATATTCTCTAATTTTAGGAGTCACAGACAAACCTAAGGCTTTAGGAAGGGTGATTTATTCTATTTGATGTGTAATTTTCTAGTATCTCCGTATTACTTTCTTTTTTTTTTTTTGCGGTACACGGGCCTCTCACCGTGTGGTCTCTCCCATTGCGGAGCACAGGCTCCGTACGCGCAGGCTCAGCAGCCATGGCTCACGGGCCCAGCCGCTCCGCGGCATGTGGGATCTTCCCAGACCGGGGCACGAACCCACGTCCCCTGCATCGGCAGGTGGACTCTCAACCACTGCGCCGCCAGGGAAGCCCTCCGTGTTACTTTTTCCTTTCTAATTTTGTTTTAATAGTTTTATTGACACCTATATCATTCTATTAGAAACTTCCTCAATCCTTTTGAATTCAAGTGAGAGTATAAGTAGTTAATAAGCAAATATATTCTGATTGATGATGTTAAAAATAAGAAAACACATAATGAAACATTATCGCTCAACATTTTAGAAGATGTACTTTTAGAGCAGTGTCAAAGTATGAACTGCTGTCTGAAGGTTACATTAGTTACATATTTCTTATGTCCTCCAAGAAGAAAAACGTTCTCAAACGTCATAGATTGTTTGATGAATGCTATTCTGGGGTAAGGAGTTGTGGGGGAAGACAGTGCTGACCACAGGAATGTTGAACAGCAAATGCTGGCTTTGGGCATAGTAGCTTTGATGCATAGTGACCTCTTTGAAATGTTGGGACTGATGGTCCTTGTGGGGACTTGCGTTACAAAATATCTGACACAGATTGAACATACTATGTGAGAACAGAAATGCAGAATAATAGGGCAATAATACCCTATCTATAAACCATCTGTGTTTACAGATTCCCTAAATAACGGGCCAAAATAGATTTCACTATGGTAAATATTCCAATTGCAGCGCTCTGCAAAATTCTCATCTGTCTCATGTATTTTAGGCATGATTTCTGGGTCGTGTGGCTTTTCTAGTAGACTTCAATGATGTGCAGCCACCAAGAACAGACCTTGTCATTTATTTAACTCCAACTGTCTTTAATCTCGAGAACAGTAAAACAGTGAGAAACCTTGGGGTTTCAACATAATCATAGAACATTACACAGGATCAGATTTTCAGATTCTTTGCTTTTGCTCTTTTTTGGCCACATTTACCGTAGAAGACTTGCGTTATCTACACATCTTTAAATTTGGGTTCATGGTTTTTCTCTTTTTTAACCTTTCTTCCTTTCTCTTTTAGTTCACAGCCATGAATGAACCACAGTGCTTCTACAATGAGTCCATTGCCTTCTTTTATAACCGGAGTGGAAAGTACCTTGCCACAGAATGGAACACAGTTAGCAAGCTGGTGATGGGACTTGGAATCACCGTCTGTATCTTCATCATGTTGGCCAACCTGCTGGTCATGGTGGCGATCTATGTCAACCGCCGCTTCCATTTTCCTATTTATTACTTAATGGCGAATCTGGCTGCTGCGGACTTCTTTGCCGGGTTGGCCTACTTCTACCTAATGTTCAACACAGGACCCAATACTCGGAGACTGACTGTTAGCACGTGGCTCCTGCGTCAGGGCCTCATTGACACCAGCCTGACAGCCTCTGTGGCCAACTTACTGGCCATTGCAATCGAGAGGCATATTACGGTTTTCCGCATGCAGCTCCACACGCGGATGAGCAACCGGCGTGTGGTGGTGGTGATTGTGGTCATCTGGACCATGGCCATTGTTATGGGGGCCATACCCAGTGTGGGCTGGAACTGCATCTGTGATATCGAAAACTGTTCCAACATGGCACCCCTCTACAGTGACTCTTACTTGGTCTTCTGGGCCATTTTCAACTTGGTGACCTTTGTCGTCATGGTGGTTCTCTATGCTCATATCTTTGGCTACGTTCGCCAGAGGACTATGAGGATGTCTCGGCATAGTTCTGGGCCGCGGCGCAATCGGGATACCATGATGAGTCTTCTGAAGACTGTGGTCATCGTGCTCGGTGAGTTTCGTCTTGACTGTAACTTACTTTACGGATTCTCGATGTCTTAGTACAAACCAGAGTAGTTTATGATAGTGGTAAACAACAATGTGAACATCAGCAGGTATATATGCAGGAATTACAAGGGGACAAGGCACCTTTATAGCAAATGTTTATGAAGAAGTCAGCATCCCAGTCTTTCTATAATTACAGACCTGGTTTCAGGGAAATAATGTCTTAGTGATGTGTTATAAATCATGGTGATGTGGAAGATGTCATTGACGAGTTTGGCTATCAAGCATTGAAAGATATCAGCTTTTGAAAGGTTTTATTACAGCCCAAATTGTGGAACTTTTGCCTATTGTCTCTTTATTACAGATTCTCAGAAAGTGTTTTTACTGTCCCATGAATATGCTTTCACACACAGTATTTTTATGAGTCTGTTTCCAAATAAGGAGTCTTTCACTTTCTGTCATTGTTACTGCACACATGTAGGTAAGTATATCAAGGTTTTGTGTAGATTTATTGCGCAAAATGGGTTGGAATTAATACCATCTCTGACAGTCATCTTTATGAAAACTTTTTTTCCATTAATTTTCGGGTTTTAGTGGTGGAAGTTAATTCATATTTCAAGGTGAAAAGCAGGATTTTATTTTTTTATGTGATGTATACTCGAATAACTTTTGCCTTTAAATAGGTATTGTTTTTCCTGGGTGAAAAATTCATGGTTAATGATCACAAGGAATATATTTATTCATTTATGTATTCAGAAAATAGTTAAAGAGAACCTCATAAGTTCCAGGCCCTGTGCTGACTCCCGGAAATGTGTCCGTGAAGACAGCATACACAGAACATTTCTTTTGGAGCTTAGAGGGCCTATTTTTAAAGTTTACCCAGTGAGAATTTTAAATAATTACCCTATTGAATTACATTTTCTCCATGGGCTATATTTGGGTTAATGTCTGATCACATTTAAAAAATATCTTTTAAAAAATCTTTAGTAGTTCATCTTTCTCCATTGAAATTCAGTGGAAAGTTCCTCTAATGCTCTTTGTTCCAGTTTGTAAAGCAGGGTTGAGTGGATGGAACCTGGGATGGTGTGGCTCCTCTGAAACTCTGGGAGCTACTTTAATTTTAGCCCCAGGAAAGAGAGCCCTAATTATGGCTCTAAGAATAAAGACCAGGCCTTGGGATTGCCGACACAACTAAAGCCCTGTCTGTAACTAACTGGCACGTGTAGGTAGTATCCCCACTGAGGCCCCCACCACCTCAGATGTGAAATTTTCTTATTCCATCCAACAAAGTTCAGTAGAAGTATAAAAATGATTTCCCTCTATGTTTAATTATCAACAAAAGCCTTGAGCATACCTGTGCCACAAGTATACATTCTCCATGATAAGGATGAAGCACATCTTTATTTACCATGGATGCTATTTTTTGTATTAAATTAAATAACATGAGAGATTTCACTTCTGTATTGACTCAAGTCTTTGTTTACTGCTGATCTCAATGTTGGTTGAAACTTTTCATACGGGTGCACTTTTTCTAGTATCATCTCAAGTACTGCTTGTAGTTCATAGAACCACCAGCAGAAAATGACTACTGAACTTGGACTATGAACCTGCTAAGCTCTTGTTTTAATTTTGACCTTTGTATAATGCCTAGCATTTTCCGGTGTGTAGTATGCTTAACGATTCATATAAAATTAACTTTTGTACCTCATTGGGTGGTTTTGCAGGTTAAATGAGAATTATTATTATTATTTTTGTGTGTGTGTGTGCAGTACGCAGGCCTCTCACTGTTGTGGCCTCTCCCGTTGCGGAGCACAGGCTCCGGACGCACAGGCTCAGCGGCCATGGCTCACGGGCCTAGCCGCTCCGCGGCATGTGGGATCTTCCCGGACCGGGGCACGAACCCGTGTCCCCTGCATTGGCAGGCAGACTCTCAACCACTGTGCCACCAGGAAAGCCCGAGAATTATTCTGAGGGTTTATGGGGCCACAGTTTCAGTGCACGTTGGCCCTAAATGCCCCTTCTGCCCTACCACACCAACCCCAGACTTGAAAATAACAGAATATAACGCTGGTTTCTGAGGTTAAACTAGTGGGCTCCACAAAGATTGAATACATGTAGCTGCCTCTGGAATAAATGGCATTATCTCTATCGATGTGTGATGAAAGAAGTTTAGAACATGGAGAACTCCAATCAGGGTGATAGGCAAAGAAATTTGGTGAGGCAAGATGTGTATGGGATTGTAGTATAGGAAGGAGAAATTAAATAAATGGACTGTAGCCTTGCAGAGAAAAGCAGCAAGAATGGGAGAATGGGCAGGGCTCGGAATAGGTAATTCACCACCCTAAACAGCCAGGTGTTTGTCAAGTTGGTGCCTGTTACCATTCGTACAACGTACTCCCCTGCTTGAATTCTATGTAGTCGTGCTTGCATGCGAAAGATGGGTTGGTCTTGTAGGAACAAGTTTGTTGACCATCAGGTTTTTTTGTGGTGCACGTTCGGTTTTTTAATATGTCTTCTCTGCCAGATTGTCAGCTTTGCGGCAGTGAGCAGGAAGTGTGATGATGTGTTGTCCAGTTTCTCCACATTACCTGTTGTGGGATCTGGCACAAAGTAGGTACTTGTAAAATAACTGTTGAATGAATGAATGTGGTGACAAAACCAGGTTTTTGAGCCTTCAGAACTGAGGACCAGAGAAAGCCATAGTGAATTCACTAAGTTGATGCCACTTTGTTCAGTCGTGTGGCAGAAACCAAACCTGGCTGCACCACTATTACATTTTGTGCCTTCCAGTCAAATGCAACAGCTTGGAAAGTGACCGCAAGGGCTGCTCAATAAATAATGTGTATTTTGTTCATTTATTCTGGGGATGATTACAGTTTAAGTGTCAAACCTTCGGTTTCCATTTCACCATGTCAAAATGACCTCTGGGTTTTAGACCTATTCAGTTCAATAAACCAGTGTTTATTGGTTATTTATCCTTCAGTAAAAGGATTTGTTAGTCAACAAGTTGAATTTCTAGGACTCAACATAAAATAAAGGGGTCTTTGAGATTTATGATGGCAATACCAGCAGCAGTTTTGAAGCACAAGATTTTGTATAAGCTGCTCCTGAGTGAGTACTGGATCTTAATAGTTTTATTTGTAAAACACATATAGCATTAATCATGTGCCTAGCACTACTCTGCCTTAGAAATGAGTTTTTGTAAAGAGCATCCCTGTGGAGTCTAGGTTTGTTAGCTTCATTTTTCAGAGGTGAAAACTGAGGCACAGAGAGGTTAAGGAGCTTTCCCAAGATCACACAGCTAGTTAAGTACAGGAGCTGGGATACGTTTCAGGCAGTCTGGTTCCAGAGCCCATGTGTTTTTCACCTCCATGCTATCCTTCCTCTCTATAATACAAACAGCTACCAGCACATGCTGGATTGTTTTATAAAGTTTGAACAGCACTGTGCTACTAAATTGAAACATTGTGATCCCATTTGTTTCTCTTGATACTGCCTAGCTGCCTGTGCTTCATTTCCTGGGTAGAAGAAAGCTTTCAGGGAGCATTCCTTTCCTCCTTTTGCTTCTTTCTGATGATGATAGTTACGACTCTCATCTCATTGGCCCTTTTCCACTGTTTGGTGTTGGAGCACCAGTAACTGACTGCTTCTGATTGAAGGAGTGTTTAGTTCAAGGTGTAGTTAACTTGAGGGTTCATTGTCCTAGTGCGAAGTCACGTAATCCTTCCCCAGGGTTGAATTCTCCCCACTTGACATTTTACCAAGAATTCCTTTTGAGCCTGTTCCATGGTTGAATCAGAGTGGTAGTCAAGTTCTTCCTTATTTGACCACAGTCTATCTTGAGTTGTAAGTCCTTGCCTTTCTTGCTCTGTTCCTTCTGATGACACTTCTGTTGGGGATACTTAGAGAAGAGGGAAACCAGGATTTGGAAAGAGAGAATAATGGTTATGGTGTAGAGGTTTTTGCATCTTAATTGTGGGAGAGAGTGAGGAAAATAAAGCAAAATAAATCCAGGTGGAGCCTATGTCTTTGGGGAAGAAGAGAGAGACACTTTTTCTAGTTGGATCTGTTCTGGCTGGAAATGATCACCACTGAAGCTAAATTACTGCTTTTTACCTACGTACCCTGTGCCAGGGTCAATACTCGGCATTACTCTTCATGTACTGTTTATAACCTTACACCAAGGAAAGTTGTGTTTCTCCCATTTTATACTGAGGGAACTGAGTTAAGATAGGGTAAGTAACTTGTTCAAGAGTGCTTATTTTGTAAGTAGCAGAACTGGAATCCAGCTGTAAGAATGTTGTGTACCATGACCTTCTATCATAGGACACTGGTCACGTGCCATACAAGAGACTGTTACTGGTATTAATAATAGTAGTTGGGGCCAGATGAGTTTAAGCCCATTGTTTTCTCGTTACTCTGATGAAGGATAATTTGGCGAATATCCTGTAAGCGAATCTTTATGTACTTCTCTGTTCAGTTTAATTCAACAAACATATTGTTGAGTGCTAATTATGTGCTAAAGGATAAAAAGATGAATAAGGTAAATACCATTTATTTAAATTGAGGCAACATTCGTTTATAACGTGATATAAGTTTCGAGTGTACAACATTATATTTCTACAGCATCCTCGTCACCAAAAATATAGTTTCCATCCATCACCATACTGTTGATCTCCTTTATCTGTTTCACCCTCCTCCCCACCCCCTCCCCTCTGGTAACCATTACTCTGTTCTCTGTATCTACGTGTTTGTTTTTATTTGATTTATTCTTTTTTAAAAAAATTCCACAGTGAGAGAAATCATATATTTGTCTTTCTCTGGCTTATTTCACATAGCATAATACCCTCAAGGTCCATCCATGTTGTTGCAAATGACAAGATTTCATCTTTTTTATGGCTGAGTAGTATTCCAGTGTGTGTGTGTGTGTGTGTGTGTGTGTGTGTGTGTGTGTATGTTCACACATATATACTACAATCTTTATCCATTCATCTGTTGATGGGCACT